ATGTATGTATGTATGTATGTATGTATGTATGTATGTATGTATGTATGTATGTATGTATGTATGTATGTATGTATGTATATACATACATACAGACACACATACACTAGCAAATACATAAACTTCGACAATAATAATACCGCTGACATTTTCATAAAACTATAAATCACCTGTAAAAAATATCCGTTGTAGACGCGTCAACAATAGAAGCCATTGTGTTCTTTCAGTGCCAGAGGGTATCCTATTCTTATCCCTTCTCTGGGGGATATTGAACAGAATAAAAAGAACCTTTTAGTGTGATGACTCCTTAATACAATATTCATGGAGAAACGTATTTTATAAAGCTTTAGCTGCAGTCACCTTTAGAAAGATTTCACTTTTACTCCAGACAAGTAAGTAAGTAAGTGTATTCGGTGTTCAACGTCATTGGCTCACATCACATCAAATAAAACACTCCTTTGTTAAATAAAGCTTCCTTAAAGAAAAGGTACATGTTGTGCATATATATTTCTTATAATGGGTCAAAAATTGCATACTTCCGTCAATTGGCTGAATCAGGCTGAGAGGAATTAACAAATTTCTTTGATGGACAAATAGAAAATAAAGTGAAATTCATTTTCAATTTCATCAGAGTTACACCTCTCACATAATGGTGAATGTATTAATTTCCACCGATAAAGATTGTTGTATAATGGAAGTCTCATGAGTTTTTAACAAGGCTATGACTTTTCTGTTCTAATACCTTGGGAGGTTGATGCTTTTTCTTGAAATGGAATTGTAAGAGAGAACAAATTATACCTGAGACAGACTTTTTCCTCTATGTTCTTCGCAGAATGATCAACAAGCCGAGGTTTTTTTTTGTCACTGAGAAATAATTTAGTGCTTCCAACACTTTGAGAAAACCAGGTCTATCCAAAATCCTATGACAGACTGAAAATCATAGGAAGGTAGTGACAGATCTGTAATAAGAGCCATCAGAAAAAGACCGCTGATATCACCTGGCCACTTTAATAGATCAAAAAGGCATGAGAACCTGTAGCTGTACTTTAAGAACACAACGTTTTATGTTACTGTTGTATTGTATAGTAAAGCTCTCAGAGCCTGTGCACTTTTAGGGTGGTTCACAGCTATATAAATGTCATTTATAAATATAAGATAAAGGGAAAGAAGAGCAGAGGACGACAAAGAATATCAAACACAAATGGCCTCAAAAACTTTTTTTTTAAAAATCAGTGAGGAAAACCGAGCTGAGCAAGAAGACAGACAACAAGAAGGAGTTCAGAAAAATAATTGTCATTGTATGCTCCAGGCCTGAAACCCGAAGAAGCAGAAAACAATAACCTCGTTAGAAACGTTCACAAACAGTATTCAAGTTCTTGTAATGTAAAGAGGGTGATTTTATGCCACTCTTTAGTAGTAGTAGTAGTAGTAGTAGTAGTAGTAGTAGTAGTAGTAGTGGTAGTAGTAGTAGTAGTAGTAGTAGTAGTAGTAGTAGTAGTAGTAGTAGTAGTAGTAGTAGTAGTAGTAGTAGTAGTAGTAGTAGTAGTAGTAGTGTA